TATTTTTCATAGAATCCGTGCACAAAAAGACGAACCAGTTTAATCTTTGATCTCTTCCCATGTCAACACTATGACATTATATAATATTTTGTTTAGAAATTAATTTGTTAGGAATGCTTTTTAACTTTTTCTCATTTGCAATCTATTTGAATATTTTTAATTAGAAAAGCAATGGAAATAATGTAAATAAATAGTATCCATTACCTCAAGTGAAAGAGATTATTTTTATATAAAGAAACTTGACATTAAGGACTTAAAGAAATCTGAAAAGTGTAGCTTTTCTCAGAATTGCTTTTGTGATTCATTAAATATATTTCTATGTACAAATCTGTAATTTTGAAATTATTGTCAAAATGCTATTTGGATTATAACTAATAGTAATTGAACTGGAACTTGATTTCTTATGCAGTTTTAGAGCTGAAGCTAAAACTTATTGTAACCAGTCATATTGAAAAGAAGAAACAGGGTGACAGGATAGCAGTATTCCAGTATTTGAGGGGCTGCCACAAAGAAGAGGGGGTCACGTTATTCACCAAAGCACCAGAGGGCAGGACAAGAAACAATGGTTGGAAACTGACCAAAGAAAGAAGCAACCTGGAATTAAGGAGAAACTTCCTGACAGTGAGGACAATTAACCACTGGAACAGCTTGCTTCCAGAAATCGTGGGCGCTCCATCACTGGAGGTTTTTAAGAAGAGACTAGACAGTCATTTGTCTGAAATGGTATACAGGTAATCCCTAAGTTATGAGTGTTCATTTAACGCTCGTTCAAAGTTACGTGATGAGTGCCTCCTAGTGCTTATGAGCAACTCCCGAAATTATGAGTATTGCAGCAGCACAGCAGTCGTTTGTCCTTACAAGCGACCGCAGTGGCTCTGCAACACTCACCCGGGTTATTCCCTCCCTCTCTGCCCCCACTGCAGGTCTCCCTAGGCACTGGGCCTTCAGTACTCATCCTGCAAAGATGGAGAATCTTCACTTTCTTGGCTGCTCCAGGCCTTCGGTTTGTTTGCAGAGAATGGAGGCCTAAAATGCAAGATGACGCGAGATCAGTGGAGCGAGATCTCACACTACTGATCTCGTGTGGTCATATGTTTCTTTAGGCCTCTGTTCTCTGTAACAGAGAACCAAACCAAAGCCGGGGGACACTGCAACATACCTCCAGAAGCTGGATAGGGGTTCCAGAGGCCTGGAAAAGGCGTCTGCCGCCTGGATCTATGGCCTCAGAGTGATTTTGTGGGGCCCCCCATGGATGATCCGGGCTCCGGAGATCTTTCCCAACCCTCTGGAGCCCGGATCTATGGCCATGGAGTGATTTTGCGCCCCCCTGCAGCCTGATCTGGGCTCCGGAGGCCTAGAAAAGACCTCTGGAGACTTGACCCATGGCTGTGGAGCGATTTTGTGGCCCCCCGTGGCCGATCCAGGCTCCGGAGGTCTTTTCCAAGCCTCTGGAGACTGGATCCATGGCCGCAGAGTGATTTCATGTGCCTCCGCGGCTGATCTGGGCTCTGGAGGCCTCGAAAAGACCTCCAGAGCCCAGATCTATGGCTTTGGAGTGATTTTTGCGGCCCCCCAGCGGCCTAATCCAGGCTCTGGAGGTCTTTTCCAGGTCTTAGGGGTGTGTTCCATCACTAGGCCCTCCATGGCCTTCTCCACCCTGAGATACCTCATGTTTACTTAACGAGCCGTGTGTGTTTTAATGAGGAAGAGAGTGGTCTCGCTAAAGGAACGAGATACATTCTACGAGTTTTCGATTTACGAGTGGAATGGACAGGCTCCATTAGAATTTTTACTAATTAAGGAGGAGGAGGAGGAAGCGGGCTATTGCTACTTATGCTCAAACTCATATTTTTTAAATCTCTCTGTGTAAATTATAGAATTGTGTTTCACCCTTCACTGATATTTCAGGTTGTGTTCATGTTCTTTTTCTTTAGAATCTCTTGTGATCTGTAATAATATTTTGCAAACTGCAGACCTTTTTTTAAAAAAATTGGGAGGCAGAAGGTTCTTCAGTTGTAGCAGACTAGCACCATCTTGTGGCTTGTCTCTTTCTTAACTAATTCATAAGCCTGTTTTCTAGGGCAGGTTGCTAATTATATCCTTTCATGTTGAAGGTCTACACTTTAATACATAAAAGCATAGTGGGATTTTTTTTTTTTGCTCTGCCCCTACCCCTTTTTACTGAAACATTTTATTTTTATCTCGTGCAAGATCTCCCAAGGGGAAAAAAAGGGCTGAATCCTTTGGTCATCAACCTCTTCACTACATATCCAGGAGAGGGCACTGTAAAAATAATTTCAGATAGTGCATTTGGGCTTTTTAGTTGGCAAAAAAAGCAGCACAAGCTATTACAGTCCTGTCTCTGGGGCCCCAGAAGATGAGTGTGGCAGCAGAAACTACGGTCTTATCTTTACCTCAAAGTAGGAGGTAGAAGATTTCTAGGAGAAGATTGAAATCACTAACATTCTAATCTGCTGGCCTTAGTGATAATTTAAATGAGTTTTATTATTAGACATTAAACTTACTGTAAAACTATTTTTGATTGTTATGGATTATCTACATTTTTCATTCAGTTTATTGTTCAACTGTTGTTAAGAATTACTCTTACTTATAGCTTTCATTTATTAATACAAATTAGAGAACCAGATCTCAAAAAAGTAGAGGAGAGAGTGAGGCTTTTATTATTATTATTATTATTATTATTATTATTATTATTATTATTATTTTTATTATTATTATTATTATTATTATTATTATTATTATTATTATTATTATTATTATTATTATTATTATTATTATTATTATTATTGAATTCTGTATGGAATCTGCATTGTTCCAAACAACAAAACATCTGTTGAGTTTTGGGGACATAAAACCAGAAAGAATTGGAAAGTTTTTTTAACCAAGATTTTAAAATTGTTGTTTATGTCTAGCTTCTTGCATAGAGATATATAATCTCTCCCCACCAAAAATCAAGTCCAGCTAGAATTCTTGAGGTAGTTGGATTCTAAACAGTACTGTAAAATGTTGCTGTGTTTTTGTTATGCTGTTTCTGAAGGAGTTCTTGTTCACATTAACTGCACTTAGAGAAACTATGTTCATCTGATTGGATCTTAGCAAACAACAATTGAAAAATGCCAGTGTGAAAACTTACTTAAATCCTCTCTTTTTCAATTATCAAAGTATTTTCATTGCTTATCTGAAAATATTTGTACTGATTTTGTTCTTGGCAATTTTGCTATCTGCTGCTAAATATTACTATCTATTACTATTTACTCTCTGTTTCCTGTACTGAATCTGACTCATCTGAGAATAATCAGCCAAAGTGATGGAGACAGAACCTATCCATTTACATTGTCTCCTCATAGTACATTGAGTGAGCTTCCATTTAACCATTGGTGAAGTTGAGTGTTACATTTAAGAGTCAGTTGTACTTAGACTTAAGAAGTTGGTTGGCTAGATTTGTTTTAAGTTTCGTGAATTTGCATTAGGTAATGAAGTCATCTGATACTGGTGCAACCTAGGGGATGTTTTGACTAGTCTGGCTTAGTGGTAGATAATACAGTTAATCATCATGCAGTTTGCTAGATTGTGACTTAATATTTGTTTGAACCCTATTGATGAGCTTTGGTTAAGCCAGCCATGGCTTAAAAATTTCTTGAGAATTCAGTTATGATATAGTAGATGAGGTACTAAAGCTATTAGCCAAAATAACAGTACTGGAATGTGCATACTGTGTTCTCCAAATCTTGGAGAGATTGCTGAAACATAGTTCTTAGCATTCCTCCCTATGCTTTATGGCATTGTTGGAAGATGAAAATCAACAATCTCTTTGAAGGTCACAGTCACCCAATCTTGCTTTGTTGAGAAAGAAAATCTTTTACTCCCTGGATCCTAGTTTTAGTTTGCAAAAGTCTGGAGAACCACTAAATAGTAGCAAACAGAAAAGAAAACATAAATTCATTGTTGGTATCTCATAGTCATCAGGATTTGGATCTTTACAGTCCAGATCAAATAGCCTTAACTTTGTCCAATGCTAACCATTTTCACTAAAAATGCTAAGAAAAGAATACTTCTAAAACACATCATGTGGAATATCTGTTCTAATACTCTTTAGGACAGGAAACCCATTGTTATTTGACAATTAGAAAATAAAATTAGAACAGAGATTTCACATGATGTGTTTCAGCAATGCCCTTCTCTATGCCAAAGTGCCATTTGGATGCTTATAAGGAAGCTTAATTGTACAAAGACTCTTTTGTTAATGCTAAAAATAGCAAAATACCACTTTTTTTATCATTTTAAACAAAAATTGGTAAGAACTTAAGCCATTTCCTATCTACACAGATCTATCCTGCATTTCATTAAAAATAAATCTTATTAGAAGGTGGAAGAAGTAATATGGAATATCAGAGACTGGCTTTATGTATTGTTGTATTAAAAGGGTGATGTAAAATATGGCATATACTTGATCCATCTGCACTAATTTTAGATTTGTTTTTCAATCTAATGCAAGTAGCTGGGTTTGAGGTAGAAAGCTTTAAAACACTTTGCAGGTAGGATATTCGAAAGAATACCTTGTGTATGAAATTGCCTGGAACCAGCAGATTTTATCAGAGGTCCTGCTATATCTTCCATTATCATAACACACTAATTAATTAGGTATACTGTATGTGACAAGGTCTTTACTGTGGCATTTCTTCATCAAGTTTATTCATTATAATTTATTACAGGATTTATATCCCAATTGCTTTAAAATAACTATTGTATTCCTTCCCTTCTGAATTCTAGATAGTCAAAAATGATTTTGTTAGCCTTGTAAGGCATTTTATTGTTGTCTTGGCTTTTTTAAAGGAATGTTTTGTTCCTTTTTTAAATTTATTTTTATTTGGTTGTGTTTTTATGGTATTATCTTTTTTAAAAATAGTAAGTTTCAGACTCTTACTATTTAATAATAGTAAGTTTCAGCCTTTTCATTTTCTCTTTGGTTCCTGAAATAGATGTGGATGAGTGTGCAGAGGGGAATGGTGGCTGCCAACAAACCTGTGTCAACATGATGGGAAGCTATGAGTGCCATTGCCGTGAAGGCTTTTTCCTGAGTGATAACCAGCATACCTGCATCCAGCGTCCTGAAGGTTGGTCTTTAATGTTTTTATTTCTGCTTATCTGTCTCTGTTTTGGATCTCTAACTTTATCATCAGGTTTAAATAAGAGATGGGAAATTAAAGTTCCTTATATTTGAGTTGGCCTGGCCTATAGATGGATAAATAGAGAGTGCCATTACAGTCCTGCTTTCAAGTTTTTGGATTAGCATTTCCCAATGTGATGTTCTCCAGAAGTGGGCCGAACTGGTTGATAATCTTGGTGATTGTCCCAACAGGTTGCAAAGACACCAAATTGAGAGAGGCTACTTATGCTCTGAGTTGGCTACTTCTCAGTCTCCCTTCAAACAATGACCCCACTTCAAACACCCTATTATGATTGAAGTAAAATACAAAACATTCACTCAAATTGGTACTAACTATTGTGAATGAAGCAGGATACAATGGATTTATTTTGTTAATCAATCTGACAACTGATCAGTGTGCAGACTAGACAAATTTCAATTCATGTCAACTGCAGGTTTCATTATTCTGAGTCAAATCACCTTTTATCAAGGGTTTTTTGGATTTTTTGTTTCAAAATACTCTTAATTAACATAAGGTTGTAGTCATAGTTAGACAATCCATCTTTCTTACTGGAACTGCTGGGCACTAGACATTCCTATATTTAATTATCATACTTTTGGTGACATTTGTAATAACAAATGAATTTTCTGACTAGTTAATCTGCTAAACCATTTAGAATTTTTGAAGAAAAGAGTCAAGTTTGCCTGAAGCATCAGGTGTCAAAACTTTCTCTGATATAACTTTTTTTTAAATGTTCAGAGTTCCCAAAAGCTCCCTTGATAATTTTTTGGGCTTAAAGACAGAAAATAAACATTTAAAACAAATCAATAAGTAAAATGGGTGTCAATTTCAGAATTGACATGCTTTTATTGTATACCTGCCCACCTTTCTTGCAAAGCAATATGTATATGATTTAGTAAATCACTGTCAGCTGTGTTCTGCAGGTTTGTTTTGACATATTCATACAAGTGTGCACGAAAGCTTAATGCAAAAATCTAACACTTAAAACCACGTTTAAAAGAATATTATTTGTTTTGCAAGAAGGAAGGATTTGAGCTCTATCCCAAATGTGACTCAATTTTATACTCTGTGGTGACTGGGAATAACAGGAATTGTAGTCCAATAGCAAGAAAGCTGGAATAGATTAGTTGTTATACATGTTTAGGAGCACCCCTCTTTTACTTTGCTCTCCAGATGTTTTGAACTTCAGTTCCTGGAATTTTCAACCAGCATGATCTTTGAATCCAATGACACTATTGTCCAATGTAGCTAGCTGAATACAGCAAACTGAAGTAGACTGATTAAGAGGAAATGTGAAGAATGGGGAGGAGAATATAGCCCATTTTAATGATGAGGGCATGTTACAAACTGTATCATCCTATGAATGTCCAGTTTAATAAAAGTCCCATTAAATTCTGAAGCCTGCAACAACATTTAGATTATCAATGTTGTTAATTGGTTAGATATTTTACCTTTATCTTGGTTCTGCATTTCTGCTACCAGTTTATTTAAGCATTTTAGGGTTATGATTCACTGACTTCTTATAAAGAAAAAGTAAATCAGCTGGAATGGCCAAGTATCTCTTGTGCTATATTACAATAATATACAGGGCTTATATATTACTTTTAACAGAATAACAGAGTTGGAAATGGCCTTGGAGGTCCAACCCCTTGCTCAAGCAGGAAAGTGTTTACCTGCTAACAAATTATGTGCTTAATAATAGGCCTAATAGGGATGCATAAATTGAGCCTGAGAAAAAGTGACATGTCAAGTTCCTACACTGTCAACTCCACACCAAGAAATCAATTCCACAGGAAGGCTAAAACTGATTTTATTGAGATTGGCTATGATCAACAGAATTTTGTGGATCTGATAGTGCTGTACCCCTCTCTTTTCTTATATTCTTGTGAATTAGGGATCTATTTGTCTGAGCTGCTTATGAACCTATGTGCCCTTTATGGACTTAAGATATATTTTTCCTCCTATATTTTTCCTGACCTTGGTAATGGAACTCAAATATCTCTATCAAGGTCATCTTTTCTACCTTGCCCTAGGCAAGGTCTCTTCAATAGGAAAATGTAAACTTGTGGACCTAGGACTCATGTCTTCTCTTGGGAAATCTCACTGTACTTCACTGATTGGAAGAGAAATAGTCTGAAGAATGAATAATTCTGGAAATATATAAACCAGATGTTACATGCCCAGTGCTTTATATTTTGGAAAAAAGGGTTGACTCTCTATGGGTGGCATCTGAAGTGGTGAATCGATCGTTGTTATGAATTGTCATCTGGGATTCTTTCTGGTCTGTGCACTTGTGGCTTGAATATAGGTCTGTCTGGACACTTTGGGGTGATTGGGAAGTAAGGGAGGCTGCACCCAGGAAACTGTCAGTACCTCCTTAAGAGAGGAGGATCATACCTGATGCCTTAAAGGAGACAGTGGTGAAGCTCCTTTTGAACAGTTCTTCCTTGGGTCTAGCTATATAAGACAACTGTCATCCAGCCTTCTCATTTTAGGGAAAGTTGTTGACCAGGTGTTGGGCTTCAATTACAGAGTACCCTGAAGGAAGTGGATTGTCTGAATACCTTTCATTCAGGATTCACATCTGGACATAGGATGGAAACAGTGGTGAATGATCTTTCTTGAGACATGGATGGGACAATTATACTGGTCTTGATCCTATTTTGCCTTCTGCCATGTTTGGTACATCAGCCATTATACACACTATTGCAATATGTTTTACATGAGCCTATATTTAAAGTTAGTAGCAAATATATTAGCCTATGATTGGCAAATGAGAACTGTTACATATAACATTATATATGTATGTATGTATGTATGTATGTATGTATGTATGTATACTAAAGAGCAGAGACATCACTCTGCCAACAAAAGTACGTATAGTCAAGGCTATGGTTTTCCCAGTTGCAATGTATGGCTGTGAAAGTTGGACCATAAGAAAGGCTGAGCGCAAAAGAATTGAGGCCTTTGAACTATGGTGCTGGAGAAGACTCCTGCAAGTCCCTGGACTGCAAGGCGATCAAACCGGTCAGTCCTAGAGGAGATCAACCCTGACTGCTCTTTAGAAGGCCAGATCCTGAAATTGAAACCCAAGAACTTTGGTCACCTAATGAGAAGGAAGGACTCACTGGAGAAGAGCCTAATGCTGGGAAAGATTGAGGGCAATAGAAGAATGGGACGACAGAGAATGAGGTGGCTGGATGGAGTCACTGAAGCAGTAGGCATGAGCTTAAATGGACTCCAGAAGATGGTAGAGGACAGGAAGGCCTGGAGGAACGTTGTCCATGGGGTCGCAATGGATTGGACACGACTTCGCAACTAACAACAACAACAAATGTGTGTGTGTGTGTATTGGCTTTCAAGTATTTTCAGGTGGAGGCAGTCCATCCTATGCATTTGTCCTGGTGGGAGACAATATTCCCCATATATGTAGAATGCGGGTTCTACTTTATGGAACCTCCCACTCCCATAGCTCAGTTGTCATTTTCCTCACATTGTTTCAAAAAGCTATTAAGATGAAACTTTTCCATATGACTTTTTAGAATTAATATTGCTGTGATTAAAGAAGGGTTGGCACTTCTGTTTGTTTTTTTGTCTTTGCTTCTTATTTTTACTTCTATTATTTCTATGATTTTATGGTTTTTATTTTTATGTATTTGCGACAATTTAATACTTATGGCTTACTTCTTATTATAAACTAATCCTGATTGTGCAATATATAAGTATAATAAATACTTAATCATTCATTTACCTATGGGTGTACAATCAGGAGTTGTAGGTTTTGTTCTGCAATGACTTCGGAACATGGAGCTGCCCCCCACCCCAGAGCTACATCTGCTTGGAATCTTACCTGGCTGCTGTTTTTCTTTCTGTGTCTTGACTAAAGAACCAAGAAGACCATGACACAAGAGCCCAGCCAAATCAGAATGACTCCTTAGCTCTTCAAATGCAGAAAAGCTCAGTGGCTACCCTCTTTGGACCCTCTTCCAGCCTGGAGCATTAACTTTAATTCTGATAAACTCTTGGTTTTAACCTTGGTTTGATCTGCGCTTTGTTCTGGAATAAAATTCTATTCTCTTGGTTCTACCCACAAAAACTCTTTTGACACCTGAATTTCCTAATATATAAAGTCTCAATTGCTGTGCTATAAATGCTGTGGGAAAGCAGCTTCTGCTTAATACAATTTTTCTGGCAGACAGCCTTTTGCCTGAGATTATTATGTCATTTACAAAAGTTGCAGCAAAGCCAGACAAGCTTTTTCATCCAGGCATCAAAGATCTTGTGGGTCTCTTTCAAAATAATGCCAAACAGAGGTAGCTTCTGAAGTAGAAGATACTAGAGAAAAAAAATCTTACAATAACAATCCATAGAACTTGCCTCTTCATGCCTCTTCTTGTGTCATCTTTGTTCTTTACCCTGGCCCGTCCCCAGTGTTTGTTTTCTGAACTTTTAAATAACTTCCTGGAAAAAAAAAGAGGCTTTGTTCTTGCCATTAAGTTTACTTTGGCCATAGAAGATCTTGTTTTGAATGTTTCTGTTCTTCAGTCCATGTGTTTTTCTCCAGTGTACTTGTTTATTGTGGTAACTTTGTTCTTTTGAATTCTCAAGTGAGATCCATTTGTACACCTGCATTTCAGACTTCAAAGTAGTTTTAATTGATTGATCCATGATAAATTTGAAGTGACAGGCAATGCTATTGAGCTTATTCTGTGGTGATAAGGGCAGTGAAACCAAATCAGCTCTCTGCTTTTATTATATCTCTGCCAGTTTTTTTCCCCTAATAAATAGCTGCCTGGCACATCACAGTTAGTTATTAACAGTAAGTGCTCTACATATGGATCAAGCAACATGTCTTTAACCATTATTTATTGGGGGGGAAATACATTGAGTGAAAAACCTAAATATATTGGGGGGAAACCTAATTTTTTTTTTAAATTAATGACTAT